CCAAAACACACACACACACACACATACACACTCAACTCACACACAAAAACCCACACACACACTAGCACAAACAGACACACACACCCACACACAAAGGTTCACCTGCGATAAGGTTATGCTTGCTCTCCACAGGGCTGAAGGGTTGTGAGTTGGTGGAAGATGAGCTCCACTCTCGGTTGTAAGTTTTCTGAGTCGGTGACCTGGGGGAAGGAAGGGAGAACAGTTGACGTATCTCTGATTGGTAACATTTTACACTCCCATTGTGGGTGGTTGGTGGGTGCTCTGGTGAGGTTTGCTTCTTCTTTCCTATCAAACATCTATCGTCCTTATCTCTCCTCCTTTTCTGAGTACTTTACTCTCTTGTAACACCTCTGATCTTCGGCAATTACTATGACCTTATTGTTTAGCAAATGCCGTAAAACTCTAACTAAAACTAAAAACACCCTCTTTGATAAACTCTTTTGTGTCAACTTTAGTCTCACTGTTGAGAGAGTGGGTATTTTACCGATTCAATTTCTCTGTCTGCTTTGACCTGCAAGTATTCACTGTGAGAATTTAGATCACGTAAGAGCAGTCCTTGAGTGACATAAGCTATAGTGTCAGTTTTCCCCTCACATTCGAGAGCTCGGGTATTTCAACTCACTTCACCTCACTATCTGCTTTGACCTTAAGGTAAGGGGGGCTACTCAGTAGGAAAAACGGTCCTATAGGTAGGCCTACAGAAAAATTCCGTTGCGCTGCAAGTTGAAGAACCAGCAGTCGACTACCCTGAGACCTAGCTGGGGAACGTGCAGAAGAAGAGGAAGAGGAAAAAGAAGAAGAAGAGGAGCCACAAATCGACCCAGGAATGAATAATGAATGTAGCCCACAGTGAGGTGATGAGTTTTAAAAAAACCTGTCCGTCTCGAAAATTAAAATCAATAGTTTGAGGCCTAGCTGGAAGCAATAGGTGTAACATTTCATCTCATGACATTCCCTTCACAGACACGTGGCAATGAGGCGTGTCTTAGCCTCACTTTTGAGATCTGGAGTATTTTCAACCAGTTCAACTTCTTTCTCTCCTCTCAACCTATAGTATGCATCACGCCACGCTGGAATCATGCGCTAATCAATTTTTGGGCATATGGAGTTATTGGTATCAGCTTAAAGCTTGTTCATTTGTCTATCTTTGGCTGAAAATGATGCAGCTATTTTGAATATTAGTCGGGACATTTGCAATTGAAGGAGGTGGGGGTTGCCTGGTTTCAAAGGTTAAATTAGAGAGAAAATGATTGGGAATTGTTCCGAAAAAACACAAAAAAAACCCAGAACTAAACGAAACAGTTGTCACTAGTATCGGACGCTCCCAGCATCCCATGGGGTTTACAGAGTTAAGCCAAGTTGTACCAGGTTTGCCAACAAGTTCCAAACCCAATCTGCGGAATCCAACATTAAAACATCTGACGACACAATATATAACTTACTAACTAACAAAACTACATCAAGTGGGACTGGGTTTTGTCTGCGATGAAGTAATGATCGCAGAGAAATTCCAGATTGCTGAAGTCTGGGACAGTCCCGAGAAATGTGGGACAGTTGGCAAGCTTGTTACACACACACTCAGAAAATTAATATCCCATCTTTAAAAAAAATTTGTTTTTTTTTAAACCTCAAAAATATAAATTTTAAAACACCCCTAACAAACAAGCAACCCC